GTGGAGGACCGGGCGGGTGGGGGGGTGTCAAGAGGGAGCGGCGGCGGCGCCCCAACTCAAGGGGCCACTGAGAGAGAAGGAAGGAAAAGAAGCAGCAGGGGAGTAGCCCCATCAAGGCTAAGAACGGTGCTGAGAAATTTCAAGCGGGACGCAAACCAAAAAATGAGAACATCAGTCTTTGCATTGTTGCCCTTTGTTCCTGATACATCTACATGCAGAGTGTCTCCGCCTCTCATCCCTTTGTGCTCCAGGGGCCAAAGGATCACCTAATCCTTCACACAGGCAGAGAAACATACATACGGAGATATATATATATATAGAGAAAAAAAAAGAGCATAAGAATGAAAGACATAAAAGAGAAACCAAAAGAAAGGAATTCTCATTGTCTTTTTTTGTACAAGTTCCTCATCGAACTCACAAGAAAGTTTCGCTCCGTTGTATTGATTCTCTTCAGCAGGGGGCTCAGCACACGCCTACGTATGGATACGCATGCACGCACACGTCACCCCAAAAAAAAAACGATGGTCAAGAAAGCCAAAGAGTTGTCTCCTTTGCAACTCCAAGAGGATGGGGAAAAAGGCACGAGAAACCTTTCTCCCTGACGAACACCGAACACGTTCATGTCCCTTTCTTGCACTCTGTTTTAGTTCAGCACTGTGGCCTGAAGGTCACTATATTCTTCTGTGTGCACAATTACCTCTCCGCTTTTCTTTCCTTCTTTGTTTGATACTATTCGGTGGGTATCTCCTCCTTCATATTGATATTTGCGTAATCACAGCCTTTTTTGTTTGTTTGTTTGTTTGTTTTTTTTGGTTGTTCCCAGTGTCGTCCTTTTCTTTGTTTATTGCATTCGTTTACCATCATCCAGCCGCTACTCAAAAAGCGGAGCTGCTACTCTTTCTCTTTTTATCTCTGCCACTTCCACTTCTCTTCGTCGCAGCAGAGGCCTCCACGAGCTCCCTGTTAGTATACTCCTGCGGGAAGCTGCCGTCGGGGTACCGCACTTGGAACTTCGTTGTTACGGGTTTACCCTTGCCAGAGAAGGATGGGAAGTTGCTGAACACCTGGCTATTTGCCGGAATCGTGCAGAATTCTGCCTTGACGTCAGTGCCAATCTTCTCATCGCAGAACAGGCCGAGAACGTACGGCACAGCTTCCTCTGTCGACATTATTCGCGGAACGAGAAGGTATGGAGAGCCCTCCGGCGTGAGCGTGCACACCATGCCAATATCGCGGCTCTGCATAAAGGTGAACTGGTTCGTGGGGTGATCAGTGTCGAGATTGGTATTCTGCTCCACCTGCATCGGGTCAAGCTTACCGCGTCCACAGCAGAGACTCAGCATAATCGGTGGGTAATCTTCAGCTGCAGCTTCCGTCCCACGGCGGTCCTCCTGAGAAAGTGTGCAAACAATGTACGTCTTCTTCTTGACCGTGAATTGAACGCATACTTGAGGAATGCCTTGGTCAAAAGTACCACGAATGCGGTAATCAAAACTCTTCGGGTGGGCCATGACAACACCACAGCCGTTGAAGTACTGTTGAGCATCCTTCCACGATATCCAGAAGGAACCTTCCTGTGGGGTATCGTGGCCGCACGCTTCAGCAACCTTTGGGTTCTCCTTCCATTTGGGATCTTCATCGTTCCACTCACCCTTCCATTCAACACCTTGAGACCACGGGTTGCGAATCTGCAGAAGACCAAGCTTCTCCTCAGCAAAGTAACGAACAGCCCTCACAGTGTACGCACGGCCCATTATTAGACCTGCATCCTTGTAGCGCCCCTCTGCATCTTCGTCCTCTGGATTCTTGACGGGTGTGCTGAGAATGATATAGAATCCATGACTATCATAGCGTTCCAGGCGCTCAAGCAGCTCTGTATCTCCCGTCTTTGAATCACTTTCAAACGACTCATCGTAACGAGCGGTTGGATAACCTGTGAGATCCTGTAGCGCAAGTAGCGGATCACCAGCAACAATGCTCGCGTAGCTCCCATGGACCTTGGCATAAGCTTTTTCCAAGACAGAAACCCACATCTCACATGGATCGTCAACTGTCTTACCGTACTTTGCCCTTCCGGCAACAGACGGCAAGTAATCGTCAACTATGACGTTGCGCCACCAACCGCTCTTATTTAAGGTCACACGGTAAGCCCCAACTGCACGCTCTTTTGCTGTCTCTTCAGGGTTGAAGGGGTGACGAAACATGTTACGGACCAAACTTGGATATTCCGCGAGAGTGGTGATGGCACACATTACCCAACAGTCACCCAAGTCTCCCATATCAACATTCATTGGGTTAACCCTGTTGCGGAAGAGACGCACAAGCGGGGCGTAGCCATCGGGAAGGTACATGTCTTGGCGGGCCCACGGCATCGTCTGCATCGTGCGCTCGGCTCCCTTTGCGATAGATTCCTGTTCCGGTGGAAAGCGGAGGTCGACAAAAGGAACGCCCAAAAGCACACACTTTTCAAGAATTTCGTTTTCATTGCTGCAACCATCAGCAACTTCCCTTACCTTTGTCAGTTCAGGTTCGATCCGCTTGCCATAATGACGCGCCTTCTTCTCTAGGTATTCATCTGATATAGGAAGTGCCCGAATTTTGCTCACGTAGCTAGCAATCGATCCCTTAACATACATCACAGTCTCACCAGGGTACACGACCGTCTCTGCGAGAAACCCGCCGCTTTCCTCGATTTTGGTGACCTTTGTGTTCCCTAATGCGCGTACCAGAGAAGTATTACCAAAGGTAAATCCCACGTGCATCTCGTAGGTACGTGTATCGTTGTAGAAGGCCCATACGTCATCCTTCGCAATGCGGAACAGAAGGCCATTATCAAAGCAGGGTGTTATCTCATCGCCCTCAAATGATGGTGCACCACACTTGAACTTCTCGTCACCAGAGCTTTTAGGTGGAAGCGGCTGGACTGTGAGCTCTTCAAACTCGTCAACGGGCTTCTTTTTTTCCTTTTTATCCTTCTTCCTTTCAGGAAAAGTGAAGTTGTTGTTGGCCACTGTGGATGGCACCTGCTGAGTAGACGTCCCGCAACCCATGTTTGTATGCGCGTATACGTATGACCACGCGTATAGATTTTTCAACTGTCCAAAGTTAACCTACGAGCGCAGCCGACCTTTCTGTAGACAGATGCGCCTAGTTCCCTTTTGCTTTCTTTGGTTTTTTTTCCTTTCTACCCTGACTTTGTTTCTTGCCTTTTTGCTTGTTTTCTTGTCTGTTTGAGTTGTTGTTTTGTGTTAAACACACCATACGTCATGGAGATTGAGCAATGTGTACGAAGGCAAAGGGGAAGGGGACGCAAAGGGCAAATAAAGCACACGCAATTCAGTGAATGGGGGCTACCGCCAAAGCCCACCACCCCTCACGACTAGCTTCTCAACAAGTAATGACCGGCCATCATATGATCTGGGGGGGAGGGTGTCGGAGAAAAGGAGAAGATGAGGGAAGATGTTGTGCCCGCCTCTCGCGCACTTCTCATGTTGTCGTTGTTGCTCCTCTCTGTATTTCGTCAGTGCCAGGCACTCGCTGCTGCCCAAGATGGTAAGAAAGAAAACAAGACAGCTGCATCAACGCCAAACACAGTGAAAGAAAGACAATCGTGAAAGCGAGAAAGGGACACCACAAAGGTCAACAAGCGATGGCCATACTTCAGCAAACACGCCAGATCAAGTCGGCCGCGGAACCCCAACAAGAAGCGCCCGGATGCACACTCTCTCCCCCTCCCCAACTCCAGTCCAACATTTCCCACGCACCACGCCACACCAAACAAAAAAAAAAAGATGTACCGCGTCCGTTTGAAATATAAAACGACTACTAGAGATGAATCGACTAGAGAATGCGAGTACATTCTAGCGTCAAAGAAAACAAAACAAAAAATGAGCCACTGAGTCGCATGTGGCTCCGCACATATCGCATCATCACTTTTTTTTCTTTTTTCATGCGACTGACCCCCCCGTCCCGCACCTTTTACCGCACCATGCAGACACACGCCCGCACACAGGCAGAGAGGCACCACTTCTCTGCTCTCACGTGTTTCCCCCTCTCTCTTGTCCTCTTCTCTTTATTCATACCGCCATAAAACAAAAACAAAAAAAAGGAGTTGCCTTAAAAGGGACAACATAAACAAAGCGGGTCCCCGTATATATAAGGCCCATATCCAAAGCATTGCCTTTTTTCTTTATATTTCCCTGCCGCACCGAGTTCTCACGGCACGCGTTCCTCAAAGCAGTTCTTTTTCTTTTTCCTCTCTCCGTTTTTTTTGTTGTGTTTTTTGCTCTTCCCAGCTCTACTCCGCACTCCCTGGGCACACACACGCCGACACACAAACACACTCACTCACAGAAACAGATATCAAAGCCCCCCCCCCCCNAAAAAAAAAAAACCCAGCCTAGTGTTGCTTCGCAGATCAGGTTCACTTATTCAGTGCTGCGGAACACCAGGTCAAAAGAAAAGACCCAAGAAAAAGGAAAACAGAACGCTTAATACTTTTTTTTTCTTGCTTCATTCCTCCCTTCAGAGGAGGCAAAGGCCACACCACGGCTGGAAAAGTGTCCAAGAGGAACAGTCAGACATGCGCACAACAAGACGAAACAAAGAAACATAAAAATAGATACAAAAGAAAAGAAACAAAAGGAAAAAAAGAAAAAATGAAAGAAGCACGGTGCCGCATTCGATATCGTCATTTCGTCTTACTCGATTTGGCATCCGGTTAGAGTCTCAACGCGTGAATCGCGATGCTTCACTTGGTAGGTTGCAGTTGCCGATTCAGCGTCGTATGCAAATCGGGGGTAGTTGTCGAACAGTTCGTTGCTCCCTGGCAACGACTTAAACAAGACCTTTATCGGTCCGCCCTCCTTTATGGGTTCTGGCGAAAGCAGACCCAGCGTAAAAGGCAGTACTTCCTCTGCGCCACTACCATCCTCCATCCGTCGTGGCACAATCAAGTAAGGTGAATTTTCTGGCACAAACTCGTACACCATGCTCACGTCTCGCCCAAGGAGGAAAACATAGCGATCGGTCGGAGCATCAGCATCAGCCGATGTATTTGCAGCAACCGTGAACTGATCATTATTCTCCTTGCTGTATGCCACATTCAACATAATGGGGTCATAGTCCACCGTCTCCTTATCCGTGCCACGGTGATCCGGTTGAGACAATATTAAGGCGCACGTTAGTGGGGATGTAACCGATACCTCGAGACAAACACTCGGCGCCACCTTTGTAAAGGTACCGGGCACTCGATAGTCATAATAAGACGGAAAATTGAAGACCACACCGCATCCGATGAAGTGCTTCTTTACATCGGTCCAATCCATCCAGAGAGAACCGTCGGACCCATCATGATTGGGGCATTCTGCAGCCACCTCTGGATTCTGCTCCCACAGAGGCGAGGACGGACTCCAGTTTCCTTTCCACTGCGCTCCATTGCTCCATGGGTTGCGCAGACAGAACAGACCGTAGCCTTTTATATGCTCCACACTCAAAACAGGTAAGGCATAGCCAATCGCAATGCCTTTTTCCTTGTGTTCGGATGCATCTGTCCTTTCGTTTCCGTTACCAGGTGTGCTAAACAACACGGTATGTCCCGCACGGCACAACATAAGGAGACGCGTAAAGAACCCATCGCTTTTATCGGGGTGAGTTTTTGCCTCATCGAACGCTGAGTCAAGCCGAGAAGTTGGGTAGCCAGTAATGTCACGAATAGCCATGAGCGGATCGCCGCTACAGATGTTAGCAAAGCCACCATTACGCTTGGCATAGGCCTTCTCCATTACTGAAACCCACATCTCGCATGGGTCGTTTCTACTACGAGAAAATCGTGGCTTACCACCGACGACAGGTAGATAGTTGTCCACTAAATATGAAGTCCATATGCCATCCTTGTTTAGAAGCGCCCGATAGGCTCCTGTTGCTGCTTCTTTGGCCGTTCGGGTGCCGTCTACAGGATGTCGAAAGACGTTCTTGATGGACTCTGGTTTTTCACTCAGAATGGCCATCGCGCTAATCACCCAGGAATCACTGAGATCACCGCGCTCCACAGAGAAAGGCGAGATGGGCCTTCGAAACAGAGCTACATGCTCCGTGAGTTCCTTTGCAAGGTATTCTGCAGGGCAGCTCCATGGAAGATTGATCAACACACCTTTGCCGCAGTCCAGCGACTTGTACGTAGGTGGGAAAGTGAGGTCAACGAAAGGGACACCACTCACCATGCAAGACTGAAGGACTTTCTCTGGATCGGTAGATGAACAAATCCGTGATACCTCGTTCATGGCTTTCTCAACCGCCTGCACTGTGGATGTGGCAATCCGTTCCAAGTAAGCGCGAGAAAGTGGCTTACCTTCAAAGTGACTTTTGTAACCGTTCCATGTACCAGAGACAAACATAACTGTCTCAAAAGGGTACACCACTGCCGTCGCCACGAATTGTCCATTCTCATTCGTTGTGATCTGAGTCTCGTTTAATGCTTCGAGCCGAGATTCCTTTCCGAAGGTAAACTCAACATGCATTTCGAACGCATTAGTGTCGTTGTACAAAGCCCATTTCTTCTCCTCCTGGTTGATAATGCGAAACAGGTGGCCCCCATCAAAGCAGGGAGTTGCCTCCCCCTTGTACGTAGGACCACATCCATGCCACGGTCGGTCCTTGTCGTTGGGATCAGGAAGAGGACGAATTGCGCCCTCGCCAAACTCGTCAAATGCAGTTATATCACTCTGTACCTTCATGTCGTCGATATCAGACGTATTGTAGCAAATTTTCTGGTTTTCAACTCTCTTTTTTTTCGGTTCTTTTCTTGTGAACCTTTTGTTAGCCTTCCTTCCTGCTCTTGTGTCGATTTCTCTTTGCTTCCTATCCACGTGAAGCAGTACCTGAATACAATCAATAGGAAGCTCCGAGTTTCAAACGGGTGTAAGTTTATTTCTTTTCTTTCTTTCTTTCTTTCTTTGAGTCCCTTTTTAGACAAGACGAGACAAGAAAAAGGAGAAAGCCAAATGAATAGAAGAACGAGAAAAAAAAAAGAACCAAGCAGAAAGAAGAAGGGTGATTCATGTTGCCAATGTTGCAGAGTAACATCTTCCTAACAGAGAAGGTTCTGGTGTCAACTGAGAGGTAAATTTCGGGGAGGTGCATAGAGAAACGGAGTGAAGTGTGTATCGAGGAGAGAGATATAGACAGAGGGAGAAGGAAAAAATTACTGCTAGGCACAAAACTAACGAATGGAACAGAGTGTCAACGCCTCCCCGCTCCTTTGCTCCTCACCCTCCCGAACAAGATGGGGAAGGAAGAAAGAAGCACCCCAGGGGACCAAAAGCCAAATTAAAGGAAGAAGAAAAAAAAACAACGTGAGGGACAGCTGCTGCAAAAATAAGAAAGAAGAAATTAATTAGCCCCATGCGTGTAGCTCGTCGCTCCACGTACAATTTCCCACTTGATTGAGCGCCGGCGGATGGCTGAGAAGAACGAGGCCGATACTTAAAAATAAAAATAAAAACGAGACGATGTTCCCATGTTTCAATATGCATCCCTCCACCGAAGCAAAAAAGAAAATAAGAAGAGCGTAACAGCAACGCCAAACACTCCACGGTTGTGCTGTTGAAGTCCCTTTTGCTCCTATTGCGTGGTGCCACGTTTCTTCAGTCCCTTTTTTTTTGGTTTTCTGTGGGTTTTTTTTCTTGTTTTGTTTTTTCGTTGGTCTCCCACACACACACGCACCCACACTCTGCACACACGGAGACGATGACAAAACAGCAACACTGTCGGAGAACAAGCGAGAGAAAAAGTGAACGGGACAGACGGAAGAAGAAAGGAAAACGACAGAGAAATGATTCTGGAGAAGGGAGGGGCAGGCGGAAGAGAAATGCTTGACAAGACCGAAGTCATGAAGAGACGATGATGAGGTGTAGGAGCAAAGATAAAAAGAAAAAAAGAAAAACCCAACGTTGCAATTCACGCTTGTCACATTATATTGCGTGTGTCCCCTTTGTTATCCCCGCGTGCTCATTCTTTTTCTTTTTCTATTTCTCTTATTAATTTCTTTGAGCCCATTTCCCCTTCTTTCTTTCTTTTTGCTTCACAAAATCTTTTTCAAACCGCTTCGTTGTCTCCTTTTTTTTTGTTTTCTGAGTTCTGTTGTTTTTTTTGTGTGTGCCTTCCTTCCTGCACACGCGTTGCCCCTCAATCCTTGCGTGGGCGCCTTACCTTGAGCCTTGTCGCAGGCGGAGCCTCACGTACGCACTCGCGGCCACACCCAACTCAATCCACCTGGATGACGGTACCGACGTAAATATCAGGGAAGAACTGTTCGGGTGAAAGCGCCTGGAACTCCGCCTCGCACGGCACTGTCAAGGATTCGAAGTGCCTGACATTATCAAATATGCGGCAGCCCGGGTCCAGGGAACGGAATGCAACACGCACGTGGCTAGACGGCGTCCCCACCTCCACAGGACTGCGCACGCCAAGCACGTAGGGCAGATCCGGGTACATGCTCATGGCCCGCGGCACCACCAAGTATGGGGAATGTTCCGGTAAGAATTCATAGAACATGCTAGTCTCACGCGATTCGAAAAATGTGTAGTCAGGATTGGGGTGGTCGGTATCAAATCCACTGTTGAGATCCACACGCATGGGCGACACAGCTCCACATCCGTGGGCAATACTGATCATGATAGGCGAATACTCTGCTTTATCCATACCACGTTTATCATCCTGGGAAAGCATAATGCACAAAACGACGGGCATGCCCACCGATATTTCCAAGCACGTGGTGGGTACGTTATGCATGAAATGGGCACGGATGCGGAAGTCGTACATTGGGTGCTGAATAAAGCACACACCACAACCCGTAAAGTACATCAAGGCTTCTGCCCACTCAAGATAAAAGGTACCATCGTCCACTTCATGGTATCCACAGGTGGCACTTACCTCAGGATATTGGTCCCACTTGCTGTCACCCTTTCTCCAAAGCAGGTCCCTCTCATCACCACATTCACGGGTCCACGGATCCCGAAACTGTAGCAAGCGAAGGTTGTGTTCAGGGAAGTACACCACTCTTAACACCGCGTACACGTGTCCAAGTTGCAGCTTGGCATTGTGGTATGCATCTTCGTCCAGGCCGTTTGACCCCTCGCCCAATACTTCCCTTGTGGGAGTAACCATCATAGCTTGATATCCAAAATCACTGTAATGCATCAAGTGCTCGAATAGTTCACCACCTTCACCCAAGGCAGCTTCATTGAGGGCATTGTTGAAAGATGAACAGGGGTAACCTGTTATATCCTGTAAGGCATGCAATGGATCACCCGCAATGATGAAGCCATAGCCACCGTGAATTTTGGCGTAGGCCTTTTCAAGAATTGAGATCCACAATTCGAGCGGGTCGCCTTTGGTACGCGCAAACTTTGGGCGACCACCGGCACAAGGCAAATAATCGTCAATGATGACATTTGTCCACCAGCCATTCTTATTGAAGGTAACACGGTAAGCACCAACCTCGCGCTCCCGTTTGCCCTCATCCAGACTGACTGGGTGGCGAAAAAGATCACGCACCCTGTCTGGGTACTCAGCCATGCATGCCACGGCACCAACGAACCATGAATCACCCAAATCACCCTCATCAATGTTAAAAGGATGAATACCATTGCGGAATAGCCGAGCCTGTTTGGCGTTTTCATCTGAGAGGTACATGCTCGGTCGTTCGAATGGCACCATCTTCATCTGCATTATGGATCCGATTTGTAGCGACTCTTGCTCCGGGGGGAATGCGAAATCGACAAACTTCACTTTTCTAGCGACGCACGCCTTCACTGTATCATCGGTAGAGGCATTCTCTCCCACCAACTGGTACACATCGTAGGTTTCCTGCTGGATTACATCCCTGTCTTGCGCCACAAGATCCTCTAGGTAATCGTCGGCAAGCTCATTTGCCACGAATTCGCATGAATATCCATTAGGCTCACCCTCAATGAAAAGTTCAGTTTCAAGTGGATACACAGTTACTTTGCAGACGTCCAAGTCCTTCTCATTCTTTTCCATGACTGTATTTCCAAGAGCACTAATCTGGGAGCCGGGACCGAATATCACCTCCACCTGAATCTGACAGTTTGGGGTATCATTATAAAAAGACCAGCGTTTTGGGCGTCCTCCCTCTACAATGCGGAACAATATCCCATCGTCATAGCAGGCGGTTACTTCTCCCTCGAAGGCAGGGCGGCCAAAGTTGTAAGACAAGTCGTCTCTGTGGTTGACCACGGAACCCTCGTCAAACTCATCAAGGGTGGCATACATGCTGGTCCCGCCCACGGTTGACCCAATGTTTGGGGCGGATCCGAAGAAGGAGGACATCAGTACTGCTTGTCCGGAGAATTGGGGAAAATGTCAAATACCTTCTTTTATATCCACTTTGCTTTGTTTCTGGCTCTCGAACACTAATATACTGGCTCCTTTCTTTATTTTGAAAGTTTTGCTAGAGTATCACCCAAACTTTATGATTGGTATTTCTTTCTTTGTGCGCTCGTGCGTTGGTTCGGACACACACCTCAGTCCAGTTAATGGATCTCTTCGGAATAAGCAGTCAAAACAACAAGATAGAGGATTGAAAGAGAAGGTAAATTTGGTCCAACAGATCAAGCAAAACACTCCTTTTCCCATTTTTCTCTCAGTCTCTCTTTCTCTCGCTCTCTCTCGTTCCCTGCATTTCTTTGACACGTCTACAAAACTCTCTTTCTTTACTTGTCCTGCGGCCTTTCACTCTTAACAAGTGTTTCCCCCGAAGGTCGGTGAGAAATCGCCAGAGGCCAGAAACGAGAATAGAAAAGAAAAAAAAAAAGAAGAATAAAACGAAACGACAAAACGACAGTCGTAGCACTTTGATTGAAACAAGAATTGATGCTCCGCTGCAAATGCTTACAGCAGGCCAGCCTTGCTTGAAAGTGATTTGTTCTCTGAAATTATTTCTCGGCATAAACAAAAAGAAATGACGACCCTGATCCTTTCCCTTTGGACTTTGACTGACCTCTCGTTCTCATCTCTCTTCTTCTCGTTCATCCCTTTCAACCTGTTTGGTTCTTTTTCGCTCCACTCATGAAGTGCACTTTCGTGGAATCATTTTGTTTTTTTTTCTTTTTAGGGTTATGTATACATCTGCATGATTTAATATCATATCTAGAGCGATGAACAAAGGAAGGAAGGAAGGAAGGAAAGCAATAAAAAAAAAAAGAAAACGATGAGACACACAGCTGCTAGAGAAGCCTTTTTTTGGTTTTTGAGGTGCATTAACCAACACTTGTCACAATGGCTCTTCTTGTGCTTTCCTGTTGCATTCTACCTCGGTGTTTTCATTTCGATCACTTCCACTTATTTTGCCCCCCTCTCTCTCCCCCATATCCCCTGGTTTTTTTTTTTTTCTTTCTCTCTTTTCCCATTAAACGCACAAGCCACATGTGAGCAATTTTGGCACACATACATCGATACGATGGTTCCTCATTTAGTTCTACCTTGCTTTGTTCAACCATACATGGGCTTTCACTCCTGCTTCTCATGTTATCAAGTAAATGATTTGTCTTCCTTTTTTATTTGCCCCAACCCCTATTCTCCCCACAATACTCACACTTTCCTCTGTCTTTTTTCAGCCCGTCGCTGGATTGGCAAGATTTGTCATCTATTAGCCACCCTATTTGTACTTCACCGAAAAAAAAACATTTTGCCAGAAAAAATGCAGTGTTGAGTTCAACCGCAAACTCGTTCACTCACTTGCAACAATCACATTTCCAGCCCGAACTCTTGGCTATGCACTTCTTGTGGTGTCCTGTTTTACCTCACATCTTAGTACACCCCCGATCCCTGTCGTGTCTCAGGGAAGCTTTTGTTGGCCATTTTAGCCTGGTATACAACTTCCACAGGGGTCGATTCGGGCTCAAATTTAGGGAAATTGTGAAATACCTTGTTGTCACAGTCAAGTTGTTTAAACTGAACCGTGACACCATCCTGGCCAATCGCCCTGTTGCAGGAGACACCAAGTGTATATGAAACCTCCTCCGGCTGCCCATCCATCATCATCAAGCGGGGAATGACCAGGGCGGGCGAGCTCTCAGGCAGGAACTTGTAGAGCAGGCTAATATCACGTGCCTGATAGAAGGTCCACTTGTCGCAGAGCGGACGAGAGGCGTCTGCAGAGCTGTTCCGCACAACCTTGTATAACTCATTGTCTGTAGGCTCAGCAACGCTTAACATAACGGGCTGGTAATTTCCAGCGTCAGGTCGTCCGCGCTTATCCTGTTGGGAAAGCGTGAAGCACATCCAGGTTGGCTGCTCGACGCAAATCTCGAGGACGGAAGAGGGTGTGCAGTTCACAAACTTAGATGCGACACGGTAATCGTTGAGAGAAGAATGGGCAAAGGACACGCCACCACCATTAAAGTAGTGCAGGCAAGCCTCCCAGGTCATCCAAAAGGTTCCTTCTTCACCCTTCTGGAAGTTGCAACCTTCAGCCACCTCTGGGTACTGCTCCCATTTCTCATCATCGTTACACCAATCACCGTTCCAGTCGCTGTCTTGGCCCCATGCACTGCGGATCTTTACCAAACGAAGCTCGTATTCAGGGAAGTACTTCGCATCCAAAACAGCGTAAGCATGTCCGGTGGTGAGGCCAACACCATTATAGCGTTTAGCCAGTTTTGGATCATTGGAATTTGGATCCTTGGGATCCTTTCCAGGGGTGCTCAACATCATCTTGTAGCGGACATTGGCGTACTTTACCCAGTCCTGAAAGAGGTCATCCTTACCGGAGCGAGCAGCGTCGGCAAAAGCCTCATCAAAACGGCATGATGGGCGGCCTGTCAAATCCTGGAGAGCGTGAAGTGGGTCACCAGTGGAAATATTGGCGTAACTGCCGTGCAGTTTAGCAAATGCCTTTTGCATGATAGAAGGCCAAATCTCCGCGATATCATGGCTGCTTCTCGCATACTTGGGCTTACCACCGCCAAGAGGAAGATAATTGTCCACAAGAACGCTGTACCAAATTCCATTCTTGTTGAACACCACACGATAGCCACCAACAGAACGCTCCTTTTTGCCCAGCTCGGGATCAGTTGGATGACGGAACATGTTGACAATATCCTTGGGGTTCTCAGATACCGCGGCGATAGAGCACAGCAACCAGGTGTCGCCAAGCCCTCCCTGCTCAACATCGGCAGGACGAATAGGGCTCCGGAAGAGACGAACTTGATCAATCATATCATCCGGAAGGTACGATGAGGGACGGGCCCACGGAAGATGCTTGAATTGTTTCTTCCCTCCCTTTTCCAGGGAAGCTTGGCACGGCGGGAACTCAAGGTCCACGAAAGGAATGTTGTTCTCCACACAAACTTTTAAGACTTCTTCTGCGTTTGTCTCATCACCAACAAGGCCTTTAATCTGCTCAATTTCCTGTTGGATTGCCTCCTCAGCTAGCTCTTGGCGGCGCTGGAAGTATTCATCCGACAAGGGAATTGCACGGAGTTTGCTCGTAAATCCATTTGTGGTGCCTTTAACAAACATTTCAGTCTCCCCGGGGTACACAATGACCTCAGCCACATGTTCACCAGTGGATTTGGTGTGCATTGTTGTGTTTTCAAGTGGCTCCAGCTTGGAATGCTTGCCAAACACGAACCGGACATGCATTTCGTAGTTGCATGTGTCATTGTAAAATGCCCACGTCTTTTCCTCGGGGTTATAAATACGGTAGAGCAGATTCGGATCATCAAAGCACGAAAGGTACTCACCTTGATAGTCGGGTTCCCCGTTTTTGAAGACTGGTGCTTCAGACAATTCCTCCTCTTCGTAGACAGGACGCATTGCCGTCGCAACTTCAAATTCATCATCACTGTCCTCACGCAGGTCGTACTCAACGGGATCCCAGCGAGATGGTTGCCTGTAAGGCGTTCGCCTCGGCTTGAATAGATGATCGACTTGCTGGGTGTGCGGCGGGAAATCATCTTCTTCCTCCTCATTCTGAGGCTTCGATTGGTTCACTTCAGATGCGTATACGTCACGCGCACATCCAGCATTCTGCTCCTCAGCTTGGCCAGGGGTCTCCGCCCTCGATGTCGGCTTATCAGAGTACTTGGTAGAATCTGGCCTTTCGTCGCGGCCAGGGGTCTCCGCCTGCTCGGTCGTCTCCTCAGGGTACGTGGCGGGCTCTGGCTCCAACTCCTGCTTTTCGTCATCACCGAAGTTCTCCGCTTGCTCTGTCGTCTCCTCCGGACACGGGGCGGCCTCTGGCTCCAACTCCTGCTTTTCGTCATCACCGAAGTTCTCCGCTTGCTCTGCCGTCTCCTCAGGGTACGTGGCGGACTCTGGCCTCACGCCCTGATTTTCGTCATAGGCAGGGGCCTCTGCCGTCGATGTCGGCTTCTCAGAGTACTTGGAAGACTCCGGTCTCTCCGCATCATCGAGGGTCACAGGTTGCTCTGTCGTCTCCTCAGGGTACGTGGCGGACTCTGGCCTCAAGCCCTGATTTTCGTAATTGCCAGGGGTTTCTGCTGCTGAATTCGGCTTCTCAGAATACCTGGAGGACTCTGGCCTTGATTCTGGTTTTTCTTCATGGGTGGGGTACTCTTCAGCTTCGCCCTGGGGTTGCAAATCATCGGGTGGAACATCCGTTACGTTATGGAGCGCCTGGGGCACATCTTCAGAATAAGCGGTGGTATCATTGTTCTGCGGGTACACGGCTGCGCCTTGTTCTCCCTCACCCACATATTGGTGCTGCCCCTCGGGGTATACCACTTCGTATCGGTTCTCCTGATGCTGGTCCCCTGGATATTGGGCATCCAGTTCGTGGGCTTCTTGGTACTGAGCATCTTGGTTCTCTACTTGTCCAGCCTGATAATGGGCAGATTGGTCCTGGGATTCTTGGTACTGTTCATCTGGATACTGGTCCTGTTGGTTTGAAGTGGTGTCGGGGGTTGCTTCGACCTCGTTTTCTCCCAGTTCGTGCCACTGATTCTGGTCTGCCATTTCTTACAAACCAATAGCAATTACAAGAAAAGTTGTTGAAACTCTCTAAGTTAAACAAAGTTGCGTATTTATTCAATCAACAGAATAAGCAATACGAAGGGAAAAAAGACAGCATTCGCAAAGAAAAATAATAAGCACCAGGGCCTTCCAATGCAAGACTACGGACGCTCAGTAATGCATACATCTATATATGTCTAATGACGAGAGCCTGATTTTTTTTTAAAAACTCATTTTCAATTTAGCAAAACATTTACAAAAAGGCACCAAACAAAACTTAGAATCTTAGGAAGACAAATATTTCCAAGGAACACTCTAAAACAAGTCTTGCATTCACAGCCCCACACTATCCTATCCTAGAGACATCTCTTCCAACCGAAAAAAACGCCTAAATGTTTTCAGAAGGGCAAATGTCTAAAGCAAAAAAGAAAAAACAATAATGTGCAACTTGAAATGCACCTCGAAGCAAAACATTATTTATCTACACACGCAGACATACATGTCAGACATTCTTGTTTTTCTGTTCGCTTTTTTTTATGAACGGCAGCTTTACTTAGCTAATTAATTTAGTTATTTTTTTGCCTAAAGCTTCTATTTTCTTTTGTTTTGTTTATGCATAGTTGTCTTATTAATTTATTAAGTCTTTTTTCAATAAATTATTCATTAATGCAAATCCACGTACTTATTTATTCATTCACCTAATGAGTTAACCAAAAAGTCCAAATACTTATTTTGTGAATGTAGTGTTAATCCATTACTCATATCTTTATTCGCCTCATGAAAGTAGATTTATACGCAGATCTGAATCCAAATTTAAGGCTTCATTATAAAAAATGTGGTTAAACCAAAAAAGCTATAACCAAACAGATCTTCATAAGAAGCACCACGACACCAAAATATCTTCGATGTGTTCTGGTCCGTGTAAGAGCATATGCCACTCTGATTACAATGTTTAATAATATATTTTTTTTTAAGCATGGCATCAAATTATAACGAATATCACACTATGGAACAGAACCCTATAGATATAAAAAAATACTTTACTGTTGGGATCTTTGCATTGATAATGAGACAAAAAATATACACAAAAGCTATTCCACAGTCTACACGAATTTTTTTTTAATACGAATCTTTTTGAATCGCTGTATCGGTAAGGACGCATATGCTCATAAAGAAATACAACCAAGCACATATTGAGTCTCTTCAGTTTTGAAGATTTCAGTAGCAAATATTTGCTTCTCAAGTTAGAGAACTTATCATAAAGACCCTCGAAGAAAACAAGAACAGAAAAAGCAATGCATTCGAACGTAATGCATATTCAAATTCACGTTTTCATCTGCAAGGGATTTTAATGAAAATAGCATAATATCTGCCTTGTAATTGAAGCTCAAAAAGCTCCAAAAACACATTTCAGAGCTAAATACATCACAAGGCAAAAGGCAAAATCCCAATCCTTCTGTTAGTAATAATACATACTAAAACACCAAATTCTCAAGAGGAAAGACCATACCTAAAATAATGTGTATCCCGTTATGGAAGACAAATCAAAGTCCTCCCCAACAAAACGATTTCAAATAAATGACTGAGCAACAAGTAAAATGCATCGCAATGTGAATCCCAAACCCAATATGCATTAAAAAAGAATCAGCACTATACATACTATTTAAATATTTTATTCTAAAGGTAGAAGAAGTTAAAAGTCATTATACTTCGGAAAGCAAGATAATTTCACTGCTGTAGTAAAGAAAGAATTGATCCTCACACGCAAAAACATTAATTAGGTACAATTTCAAATCACAATTCAAATGGGGAGTGTCATCTAAAACAGCTCATATATTAATAAAAATGTTTAATATCTCTCTGTAAAATGGAAAACGCTTTGATAATTAAAAATAAAAAAGTGCTTGGCCTACGGCCTTCCACATACACATTTACAGTGAGAAAATCAATTAACAATTTGCATTGCACCAAAATAAACATGAACACAAAAGCAATCAATTTAAAAAATTGTATTTAAACCAAGCAGATTGCAATTAACCTTGCAAACAAAAAAAAACAAAAAAGCGGGACAAAAAAACACTAACTACTATTTTTTTTTCTCTAACAATGCTGACGTCAGAATTCAATACATTTTAAGAGTGGTTAATATTACATATGTGGATATCTATTAGCTAGGCAGCATTGCAAACGTAAAGAAGCAAATAGTATCCAGCATACCCTTTCAGAAGAAAACCAAGGTAAATTAAGAACTCAGTAGATAAAAATGCAGAATTAGGGCTCAAGGCCACAACGCGCACATTCAATACAAAAAAAAAACGAAATAAAGGAAAACACTTTAAAAAACCTTCATAAAGTTCAAATCATAACCATTTTAGTTTAATAATCACGAAACAAAACAAAACTCGCCAAAAACGTACAACAAGAAATATAATGTTCTTTTTTTTTATACAGAACGCCGTATTGGAAAGCACACAAAGCAATACAGGAAGACAAAGTATGGCTTTGACATTCTTGCAAGACATTTAAAACAGCATAACTTTGGTCGGGCAGTCAGGTCACTCAAAAATCACGTAATTTTAGTCACATCGGTAGTAGCAGAACAGAAAACGTCCAACCAACCCAAAATGGAATCAACAACCCAACAGCACGATCACACCACGCAGTTGGATCAGCAGCGGTGCCGCCAGCACGCCGGGAGAAACCCCGACCACGCACGGCATCTTACAGCAAAAACAAAACATAACCTACAAACGCCACCCCTAAAGTACGCACCGCCTTTCCTAACCAGGGCTTCCGTCTTCAAAAAAAAGCCGCCCTCACAAGGGCACCCGCCGACACCACCCCCGCCTAGACAGCCCGCGCCCCAAACGCCTAGCACAAACCCCGCCCCGCAAAGGGCAGCACAACTGGATCCCCGCGGCGCCCGGCCCGCCACT